GTGCGCTTTTCAGGTCCTGAGTAGTCGGCGAGCGCGTTAGAGATGGCTAGTTTAGTTTCACAGACAGTTTTAGTTGTGTTTTGGGCATGTGTGCCCCTTATGTTGAACAATAAGTTAGATTGTTGATGATGGTTTTTGCCCTGTGCGTTCACAATGGTGTGAGCGTGGCATAGCACTCCCTTTTTCTGGCTTTATATATTTAGACTTCCGCTGTGTTTTGTTTATGTTTGTGGTTAGATTATCTTGCATATTTAAGTTTAAAATGGCATGAAAATCGGTGGTGTTACAATATGAACCCAGGGACCCAGATTATACAACCCGAATATATGTTTGAATATAATATATAAATAACAAAACGATAATAGGGGTAGAGATATTATATTAATTGGATGTATAACGCTATTACAGAGGTTCGAGACGTGTAATGACAAGACAATTTGTGTAGGAAAGTAGTAGATGCTTGAATAGGACACCGGGGAGTGTTTTTATACTCCCCGGACGCTACGGGCCCGGGGTACGCAGGAGGAGCCGCGGCCCGCGCCGCGAGACTCGCTCCACGCGAGGACCCGACCCTTGGGCGAGCACGGAGCGCGGCCAAGGGGCCGGCCATGGGCTCGGCCGAGCCCATGGGGCCGAGGCCGAGTCCATGGAGGTCTGCTCGACGGGATGTAGGTGGGGGGACGACGGTCCATGGAGGCAAAAGGTTGGACTCAGAAGTACAGGGTGACACTAGGAGGTAATGATTGGAACTGAAATAAGGTCGGGGTTAGCTATAAGGTTAGAACAAGGCATAAGGTTGGAACTCTGAAACTTGTGACATGTAGTTGTCACTGTGACATGTAGTTGTGACCGTGTGAATGTGATTTTCTTGCTTATGAGCATGTCTTGATGTATTCTACCTTGTGAACGGTAGGAAACATCTTGAGTTGTGTTGTCTCTCATGTTTGTGGTCTTGTTGTTGTTGTGAGGATGTTGATCCTCGTTTCTATTGAGAGTGATTGATGAGTTTTTGGTGTTGACTTCCCTCCTTTGTTTTGAAATGATATATATTGTATTCCCGTTCCAAATGGTTTTGATTATATCTATCTATATTATGCTATTTAACGCGTATTGATGGGTTACCAGCATTATTCGCTGACTGGGTGTTATCCCTTAATCTTTTGACAGGTTTTGAGTAGATGCTGAGCGCGCTAGTAGTGGACCTTAGTTAGTGTAGACCCCATGCTAGACGTTTATCCTTTGTTGGCCTGTGTGCCTTAGAATCTTTAATGTTTGGTTCTTATTTTGTTAGATTGTTGTTGACTAGCCTGTGCACCCATGGTTTATGGGTGTGGCATAACGCTTACCGATTTTATATAACTTCCGCTTGCTCTGTGTCTTGATGATTAGATGCTTACCTTTGAGATTTATGTTTTAAAAATTTTGAAAAATCAGGGGGTGTTACAGTTGGTATCAGAGCCTAGGTTTGAGCCTAGGATGTTAAGAGTCGGACTTTGAGAAGTTAAGTGTGATTTGAGACCATAAGTTGACCTTTAAGTACCTAAGTTTTTAGGACTTAGGACTTCTAAGACGCGCGGTGAGCTGTGAGTTATTTGTTGTTTGTTGTGTTTGTTCCGTTGCTTCCGTTTAGTTTTAGTGTTCTCGTCTTCAGCACCGGGTAAGGGTGCGCAGTTTGTTTATGCCTACCGTAACCGTGTTGTTTCTGTAAAAGTCTCGCCATAGCTCCACCCCGCCATCGTTCTCAGGCGCTGGATTTGGTTAAGAAACCTCGTTTGGTGGGGACTCCCAACACCCCTAGCGTGGTTGAGCGTTGGATCAGGAGTGGTGTCTCCACTCAGATTAGCTCCAGTGAGATTGCAGCACCGCCCCCTCGGAGACAACAATCGTTTGGGAGCTTGGGTTTTCAGAGTTCAAAAGGGGAATTGCCTCGAGGAAGGATCCTCGCGTTAAGAGAAGCTCAAGCCGGAGACGGCGATGTCGTGACTGGGACCTTTTTGGTGCAATCGATTCCGGCTCTGGTCCTGTTCGACTCCGGGGCGTCTAATTCGTTTGTATCTCCGGGGCTGGTTGAAAGGTTGGGTTTGACCGATGGTTTGGAAGTGAAGTGCAGTGTGAAGGTGGCCTCGGGGGAAACCAAGTCATGTAATCGTATGTTCAAGAATATCGGGATTGTTAGCAACGAAGAAGAATTCTTGTGCAACCTAATACAGTTCGGCTTGGACGGAGTGGACGTGGTCTTAGGGATGGATTGGTTGGGCCAACACAAGGCTCAAATTCTCTGTGGAGAGCAGAAGGTCGTGTTAAGAGGACCAAGCGGGAAGAGGGTAACGTACCGAGGTCTCGCGGTGGAACCTAAAATCAAGATGGTATCTATGATTAGGATGAAGAAGTATGTGGAGAAGGGTCATGAAATTTTCCTTTGCACCGTTGAGAACTTGGCAGCCAAGGGGGACGCAGCTCAATCTATACCAGTGGTGTGTGAATTCCTCGATGTCTTTCCCGAAGAGATTCCAGGTATGCCTCCACCAAGGGAGGTGGAATTTTCGGTGGATCTTGTACCCAGGACTGCGCCCATCTCAAAGGCCCCATACCGGTTGGCGCCCAAAGAAATGCAGGAATTGAAAGCGCAGTTACAGGAGTTGTTGGACAAGGGTTATATCCGGCCGAGTACCTCGCCGTGTGGAACGCAGGCACTTTTCGTTAAAAAGAAGGACGGAAGCATGAGGTTATGTATAGACTACCGGGAGTTAAACCAGGTGACCGTTAAGAATAAGTACCCACTCCCAAGGATCGACGATCTATTTGACTAGCTTAAGGGTGCAGGCGTGTTCTCTAAGATCGATTTGAGGTCGGGTTACCACCAGTTAAAAGTGGCCGATAAAGATATACCCAAGACAACCTTCAGGACTCGCTATGGACATTACGAGTTCACGGTGATGCCGTTCGGTTTAACTAATGCACCGACAGTGTTCATGGATTTGATGAACCGAGTCTTCAAACCGCACCGAGATGACTTTGTGATTGTGTTCATCGACGATATTCTCGTATATTCCCGGAGCAAGGAGGATCACGAAAGACATCATCACATTGTGCTTCAAATTCTGAGAGAAAAACAACTTTACGCCAAGCTTTCAAAGTGCGAGTTTTGGAAGGACATTGTAACATTCTTGTGGCACGTGATCAATAGCAATGGCATCTTAGTGGATCCAGATAAGATCTGAGCTGTAAAGGATTGTGCAGTACCGACAACAGTTGGAGAAGTAAGAAGTTTCCTTGGTTTAGCAGGATATTACCGTAGGTTCGTTTTGGATTTTGCCAAGGTGGCTCAGCCGTTAACCAAATTGTTAAAGAAAGATGCCCCTTTTCAGTGGAATCAAGATTGTGACTCAGCATTTCAAGAATTAAAAGATAAGCTGACCACGGCGCCCATATTAACCCTACCGTTGGGAACAGAAGGATTTGAAGTGTATAGTGATGCGTCCAAGAAAGGTTTGGGATGTGACCTGATGCAAAATGGAAGAGTAATCGCATACGCCTCTAGACAACTTAAGGTGCACAAAGAGAATTATCCCACGCACGACTTAGAATTAGCAGCGGTGGTCTTTGCCTTAAAAATCTGGAGACATTACTTATACGGGGTGCGTTGTAAAATCTTCATAGACCACAAAAACCTCAAGTATATTTTCACACAAAAGGACCTGAACATGCGCCAAAGGCGTTGGCTAGAACTCATCAAGGACTACGAATTGGATATCCAGTATCATGAGGGAAAGGCAAAGGTAGTAGCCGATGCGCTGAGCAGGAAATCTAAGCATTCTATCAGCTCTATCTGGGTGGTGGCCGATGAACTGTGTAAGGAAATGCAAAAGATGAACTTGGAGATGGTGGAACAAGGAGAGGTGGAAGATGAAGTCTGTTTGTTCAATTTGAGAATCGTGCCTACCCTCCTGGAAGAGATAAAGGATGAGCAAATGAAAGATGTCGGTCTAGCAAGAGTGAAGAGTGAACTGGTCGAGGGAAAGAAGGGATCTTTTGATTTATCCACGGGTGGGGGTTTAATGTACAAAGGCCGTTTATGCATACCCGTGTCTTGCGACCGCTTGAAGCGCCAAATTATGGAAGAAGGTCACAACACACCTTATTCGGTACACCCTAGGGGTGACAAGCTATACAAGGACGTGAAGAAGCTCTTTTGGTGACCCAACATGAAGAAAGAGATAGCTGACTTCGTGAGTCGGTGTTTGAATTGCCAAAAGGTCAAAGCTGAGCGATGTAGGTCCAAGGATTTGGTGCAACCGTTAGAGGTACCCCAAGGGAAGTGGGACTCCATTTCTATTGATTTTGTAGGTGGTTTACCCGTTACCCGTACAGGCAAGGACAATATTTGGGTGATTGTGGATCGTTTAACTAAGACAGCTCGGCTCATCGCCATGAAGGAAACATGGTCAATAACACAGCTAGCCCGAGCGTACGTAAGCCAGGTAGTGAAGTACCACGGAGTACCCCAGGATATTGTCTCCGACTGAGATCCTAGGTTTCTATCTCATTTCTGGAAGTCTTTGCAAGCGGCTTTGGGAACGAAGTTGAATTTGAGCACCGCCTTTCACCCAGCCATGGATGGACAAACCGAGAGGACTATCCAGACAATCAAAGATATGCTAAGGGCATGGATGTTAGACTTCCAAGGCTCATGGGAGGAGCACTTGGACCTGATTGGGTTCTCCTACAATAACAGCTACCATGCAAGCATACAGATGGCACCTTACGAAGCGCTTTATGGTCAGAAATGCTGAAGTCCGTTATGTTGGGAGAATTTGGTTAACCCGGTGATGTTGGGGCCGCAATATTTGCACGATACCGTAGAGAAAATCAAACATATTCAAGGGAGAATGAAAATGGCATAGGGTCGGCAAAAGTCCTATGTGGAGTTAGGAAGGAAACAAGCAGAGTTCGCGGTTGGGGACAAAGTGTGGCTGAAAGTTTCCCCCACCCGGGGAGTAATGAGATTCAGAAAGAAAGGCAAGCTAAGCCGCCGGTTTATTGGTCCCTATGAAATCCTCGAGAGAATAGGAAACCTAGCTTATCGTTTGGCGTTGCCAATGGAGTTGGAGCGAGTGCACAATGTTTTTCATGCGTCTCAACTAAAGAAATATGTGCACGACCCATCGCATGTGATTCCGCTGGAAGTTTTACCGCTTTATGGTACCTTGTCGTACGAAGAAAGACCGCTTCGGATCTTGGATTTCAAAACACGGGAGACCCGCAGGAAGTCGGTAGAGATGGTAAAGGTGTGGTGGTCGCATCATGGAGAGGAAGAGGCAACCTGGGAGTTAGAGTCAGCCATGAGGGAGCGCTATCCGGATCTGTTCATCTTAGGTATCTTGTCTTACCCTCCTTATTGAGTAGTTGTGGGGTTGGGAGTAGTATAGTTGATCTCATAGTGTTTGTGTTGCTCGAGAAGCCTCTTTTTGTGACTATTGAAACCTTACTTTTCTTGATTCTTGCAAAACCTTACACCTTTTGGATCCTTGAAGTCTTGCTCAATGGTGTATTGCTTCCTTTTTGTCACATTGTTGATTCGTTGCTATTCGTTTGATTGAACTCGTCGTGCCCAAGCTTCGGGGACGAAGCTTCTTATTAGGGGGAGAGGATGTGACACCCCGTAAACCCAAACATTAATCGAGGATTAATTTAAGAATTAAACCAAGTTTCTTTGCTAATCTATTTCTAAAAATCCTGAAATTTAATAGTCGAGGGACTAGATTTTGACTAGTCATTTAAGTCAAAAGGTTGTACCTTGTGCTTCTTGAGTTGTGCCCTTGTTCCCTTGTCTTTCCAACATTAGTAAGGGTAGAAATGTCTTTTCACCTAAGATTTGTGATTCAAGCTAACCTAGCAAGACTCTCTCATTCCATTCACCCTTCAACCTAAAACTCAAAAACTCTAGCCTCTCTCTAAAATAATTTTAGCTTCTTCTCCAATCAAGAAATTGAGCACCCAAGCCTTGCAAGATTTTTTACCAAGATTCCTACTTTCTCCTTCTTGAGCATAAGAAAGGGTAAGATCCTTAGCCTTTTGGTGTTTTTAACATTCTTTTAGGTGTCTTTTTCTAAAGTTAGGATCTTTGTTGTGTTTTAGTTTGTGTAAGAAGTTGGTGTGGAAGAGGAGCTCTAAGAAAGGCTTTTAAGGGTGAAAAGAGGAAGTTGTTAGGCTACAAAGGTAACCCATGCTTTACAAAACCTTTTTTCTAACTTATATGATGATTCTTGGCTTCTACTTGTGATTCTTGTGTTGATTTGTGAGATTTGATGCATGATCTTGTGGTGATGCATGTTTAGAGCTTGTTCTTAGGGTTCTTGAATGCCATTGCTTGGCTATTTCTTGGGTTCAAGTCATATTATTGTTGTGTGTGAGATTTTGGGTGTTTTGAACTTGAACTTGGCCTTGTTGTTGATTTTCCCCGAAGGGAAATGTTGGTGTACAGGGATGTACCCGCGGGCGGAACGGCGGGCAGGGCCTTACCCGCCGCCCCACCCGCGGGGAACTGGTCTCGTGGGTGTATGTACCCGCGGGCGGAACCACGGGTGGAGTTCTACCTGTGGCCCCACCCGCGGGGTACCATGTTGGTGTTGGCCGGGGATTTGTTCCCCGTGATTCTTTCTTCTCGGTATTGATGTCTTGACCTCCCGTTGTTAATTTATTGGGCTATTTGTGAGTCTTCTTGATGTTTTGTATGTCTAGAACGGTGTGTTAGGAATCCATGTAGGATTTGGTGTCTTGAATCGTGCTAAGGGTCCAACTTTGTGATTCGTTGGGCTAATGTGAGTCTTGAATGTTCTTTGGAACTAATTTTGGTTTACCCGTTTGACAAGCATGCTAGTTTGATGTTGATATGCTACTATGTGTGGTTCGTTCCTTCGTATTGAGATTGGCAACTTGTGTTGACAATCATTTGGTGTTGGGTTGTAACCCTATGATTGTTGAGTATGGTCTCATGTCTTTATTGTGATCCCTTGATTGATTCCTATGATATGATCGTGTGTAAATCGTTGTACCCTTTGTTGATACTTGATTGAGGCTATTGTTGAGCCTTAGTCCTCTTAGTAATGATGATGACCTTGTCTGACTAGGATTGAGATTGATGGTTTGTTACTTGAGCTTTGCTCACGAGTTTGGCGGTTTTGTGATTGTGAAATTAATGGTACCCTCGTGTATTGAGAGTTCGGCGGTGAATAGGGATGTAGGTGGGGGGACGACGGTCCCCGGAGGCAAAAGGTTGGACTCAGAAGTACAGGGTGGCACTAGGAGGTAATGGTTGGAACTGAAATAAGGCCGGGGGTAACCATAAGGTTGGAACAGGGCATAAGGTAGGAACTATGAAACTTGTGACATGTAGTTGTAACCGTGTGAATGTGATTTCCTTGCTAATGAGCATGTTTTGATGTTGTGGTCTTGTTGTTGTTGTGAGGATGTTGATCCTCGTTTCTATTGAGAGTGATTGATGAGTTTTTGGTGTTGACTTCCCTCCTTAGTTTTGAAATGATATATATTGTATTCCTGTTCCAAATGGTTTTGATTATATCTATCTATATTATGCTATTTAACGCGTATTGATGGGTTACCAGCATTATTCGCTGACCAGGTGTTATCCCTTGATCTTTTAACAGGTTTTGAGTATATGCTGAGCGCGCTAGATGTGGACCTTAGTTAGTGTAGACCCCATGCTAGACGTTTATCCTTTGTTGGCCTGTGTGCCTTAGAATCTTTATTGTTTGGTTATTGTTTTGTTAGATTGTTGTTGAGTAGCCTGTGCACCTATGGTTTATGGGTGTGGCATAACGCTTACCGATTTTATATAGCTTCTGCTTGCTTTGTGTCTTGATGATTAGATGCTTACCTTTGAGGTTTAAGTTTTTAAAATGTTGAAAAATCGGGGATGTTACAATAGGAGTGCGAATAAAAAGGGAAAATTCAGCATTTTGAGAGGGGAGAGACAATTTTAGACTTAGAGTTCACATTTTTAGAGAGAAGCTTTAAATTAGGGTTAGATTTTATTTTCTCTTTCTAGGATTTTAGTCAAGATCTAGATGTTTTGCAAGGAAGCTTGAAGATTTAGAAAGCTTGTGGCTTGGATCTTCGTCTTCTACAAACATTGGAAGGGATCTAGCTTCATCTTGGGTGAAATCTAATCTTTGATCTTTATTGTTTAAATCTTGTTCATCCATTTCATAGTCGCTAGATCTTGTTCATTATCATGTTTGGCTAAAGTTCTAGGGGCTTGGATTGTTGTGTAGATTACTTTTCTTTATTTGATTTGCGATTTGTGATTCTTGATTGTTGTTGGCTTATTTGTCTTGTTGAAAGTGAGTTTTGTGAAGACTAGTGTGCGAGGTGCGCAACTCGCCCATTTGATCTAGGATGAGTGCATTGGCAAGAGATTGTGATGCACTCTAGCATTACCACTCGCATTTCCCGCCCTCAGATCCGAGAGGATAAGATCCGGAAAAGATGTAGGCAAGATGTTTATTGTAATGCCTCTTTGAGAACAAGTGTTCCTTCGAGTGGCGCTTAGACCGAATCTGTGACACCCCAAAAATCCACACTCCAATCCATGAATTAATTGAGTAATTAATTCTATTTCTTTTGAGGAATTGATTCCTAAAATCCTGATTTTTAATACCCAAGGACTAGTATTTGACTAGTCAATCTTTAAGTTGTGTTGTACCTTGTGCTTAGAGAGGAGTTCCCTTGTTCCTTACACTTTCTAAGGGTTAGTAAGGGTAGCCTTGTCTTTTCACCAAGAGTTAGTATTGTATCCTAACCTAGAAGACTTCTTCATTTCATTCCTTACAATTCCTAGAAAAAAAAATATCTCTACCTTCTCTCTCTAGAATAGAAGTGTAGCTTATTCTCCAAGCCAAGTTGAGACCCTTGTCAAGATTCCAAGTTTTGCTTCCAAGATTCAACCTTTCACCTATTTGGGCATCTAGAAGGGTAAGATCTAAGCTTGTCTAGTCTTTTTGGTTCCATCTTAGTTGTCTTTTTCTTAAAAGTGAGATCTTTATGATCTTTTGGTTTGATCTTGAAGTGGGTTTGAGAAGTGAGCCTAGTGGAGAGCTTGTTGTGGTGTTAGTGAAGTCTTTTGGTCTTCAAGAGGTAACCCATGCTCTACAAAACCTATTTTGCTTACCTATATGTGATTTCTTGGATTCTACTTGTGTTTTGCTATGAAATGTGAGGGTTTATGCATTTATCTTGTGATATTGCATATCTAGAGCTTGTGTTTAGGGTTCCTTTGTGCCATTGCTTGGCATTTTCCTTGGTTCAAGTCATTTTGTTGTGTTTGGTGAGATTTGGCATGTTTTGGACTTGAATTTGTGTTTGGAGAAGAAAATCCCCGAAGGGATTTGTTGTGGAACAGGTATGTCTATATGGTAGGTTGTGGATCTTTTGTGGAACTATTTGAGTGTTTTCTTGATGTTTCGTAGGTCTAGAACTATATGGTAGGTATCCATGTAGGACTTTGGTGTCTTGATTCGTGCTAAGTGTTCAACATTGTGTTTCGTTGGACCAAGAGGTGTCTTGTGTGTTCCTCGGAACTATCTTGAGTTTCCCCGTTGATAAGCATGCTAGTTTGTTGTCTTAATGCTAGCGTGTGTGTTGTTTGTACCTTCCGTTTGGTTGATGATAACTTGTGTTATCCATCGTTGTTGTCGTTGGGTTGTGACCCGTTACTTGATTGAGTATGTTTCATACCTTCGTTGTAATCCGTTGTTTGACTCTCGTGTGAGTTGTGGTGCGTGTGTGGCTCAACCTGGATTGCACGATTAGTGGTATGGGACGCTAGTCACCAAGGTATTGCAGCGGTCCTCGTGGTGGCCGTGACGTGATTATGGAGTTGTGGCCTGAGTGATGGGTCCACGTGATTGGGGGATAACATGTGTTATCCGAACATGTGTTGCCGTGTTTGGTGGTGGTCCGTTGGTGGTTATAGGTGGGGGACGACGGTCCCGGCGGAATAAGGTTGGACTTGGCTGTACAGGGGATCTTGGAGGTAATGGTTTGCTTGAAGGTACAAGGTTGGGGTAGCCATAAGGTTGGAACAGGGCATAAGGAAGGCATACCAAACTCGCGATGGGTGATGTTGCGAGGGCTTTTAAAGCCGGTGTTGTGTGATCTTCTCTCGTGACGTGTGTAGTCACGGAGGCTTGTGGTGTTTTGGCATGTGTTGTCGTTGGGTGAGTCTTTATCCTTGTGTGTGGTTAACCTTTGTGGTTTGGGATGTGTTCCTGGTGTTATCCTTGTGAGTGGTGAGTCTTGTGTTGTCTTTTGATCTTGGCTTTTGACTTATATATATATGTATTCCGTTTCGAAAATGGTTTTATATCTTATATCTACCTATTTATGATACTTAACGGTATTGGTGGGTTACCAGCATTATTCGCTGACCGGGCGTCGTCCCAATGTTTATCTTTGTATCTTTCAGGTGGTGTTTAGACGAGAGCGATGTCTAGAGCCTGGTAGCTTAGCAGCTTTGTGTTTTCGTGGCCTGTGCGCCAATGTTTTTAGGCTGCTTTAGATTGATGTATTGGGATAGTACTATACACTTGCAGATTGTTGCCTTAGCGTTACCTAGTGTGGTATACGTGGCATAACACCCCTTTTTGGATTTCTTTTATCCAGTTTCCGTTTATCTTCCGCTGTGCTAGTTTTGTTGTTAATCTGCTTGTGTTAGGGCTTCAATTGGGCCTTGTTTTTGGGGGGTTTTACAGAATCGGCTATGCATTAGCATTGCCATCCCTCTTGATTAGAGTTTCAACACGCTTCAATCACTTAACTTTCGGTATGGCCAACCACGCAATGCAATCGAAGCACAATGCGAGCCCATTTTCCTTTCATCTGTTTTACCTTTATTATTTCTCTTTCACGTTGTGCGATTTTCCTACCACCACCTGTTAATGCGAAACCTTAACCAAGAACCTCAAGCTCAAATACCCTTTCCATAACACTCTCTCAACAGTAACAAGTTATCGCTCCTTGAGTACGACACTCGGGGTGGTTCTCACTTACCCCGTTTTAACTCTTTACATCTCATGCCCCTTACATGACCCCCATATCATCTAATCTTTTGACGACACTTCTAAATGAGAACCGTAAACGAAAAGCGTCTGTGTCACTGACCTTAAGATATGGTGGACAGAAACATCCCCAATATCCCTAGCAATATCAACACATTGCCTAATAACCACACCAACATAGGACAAGTCAAGGTGCGAAGATTGAAAACTATTATAGAAGTTCATACAATCTGTTTCAATTATAATCTGAGTGATTCCACGAGCCTTGATCCATGTTAAATCCTCCTTTATGGCTAGCGCCTCAGCCAGATACGGGTCACAACCACAAGATAAGTGGGTTGCATAAGCCGCTACAAAGTTACCATGATGATCATGAATCACCAAACCCGCCCCTCTGAAACCTTCGGTTATTGCTGCATCAACATTGCATTTCAACATGCCTGATGGAGGTGGTGACCGGATAGCAGGAGAAGGACTGGGTAAATGATTAGACACCGTGTTGGCATACACGGCCTATTGGCATTTTAGAACCAGCTACGTCACATTCTCCTTTAGCATTGATGAGGACCAAGTTTTGTCATGCCACACCTTGTCATTCCGGGCAAGCCAAGACGTCCAGAATCTGGCCGCCATTAACACTGCATCATGCGCATCTGGCTTCTCATATATAGACTCCACAAAGCACAAGAACGGTTTCCCCTGCAAGACATCATTACAATCCCACAAACTCTTGGCTACTGGACATTCGCACAAAATGTGCGTTACCGTTTCCATATCTGCCGGACACAAAGGGCAACCACCACCAATAAACACTCTCTTGCTTCTTAGGTTCTCACACACCGGTAGAACATTCATAACACATCGCCACATGAAATTGTGGATCTTCGGGGGAACTTTGCTGCTCCTGAGATTTCTCCAGGCTTTAAAATCTAAACTTGAACCAATCCCCACAGTTTCTTATGTTAAGCTCTTATACCCATGTTTAGCCGTGTACACCCTCCTTATATCTCCAAACCAGCACCACGAATCCTCATACTCAGGAGATACCGGGGTAGAGAGGATTCTAGGAACATCCTGTGGATCGAAGATGTCTCTTATCAGTTCCTCATCCCATCTTCCATTAACATCCAAAAGGTTCGAAACCCTAGCATCTTTTAGCTCCTCGATTTCATGCGTAAGAAGGCATGGATTGTTATGTCTGATAACCATGGCTAGCCCCAAATCGTAGTGTCCTTCCCATCCCCCACTCTATGCATCACTCCTTTACGTAAGAGTTCCTGGCCGGCTTGGATACTTCACCAAATATAGCTAGGGTTGTGACCTAATGGCGCATCGAGAAAGTTCACAGATGGGAAGTAACGGGCTTTAAGGATTCTACTTACTAGAAAAATTGGGTTAGCCAAAATCCTTCACCCTTGCTTTGCGAATAGAGCCAAGTTGAATTCCCTTAATCGTTTGAAGCCCATTCCACCTTTTGATTTTGGCACTGCCAACCGAGACCAAACACATCCAGTGGATTCCTCTCGAATTTGCTCTATCATTCTGCCGCCAAAACTGATTCATCAATCTCTCAATAGAATCACAAACAGTCCTCGGCAGAAGAAAACACGACATCGTGAAGATTGGCATGGCCTGTGCTATGCTTTTTAACATAATCTCTCTCCCGGCTCTGGTGAGAAATTTTTTTAACCACATGTTGATCCGATCTAGAATTCGCTGCTCAATGTAGCGAAATATGGTTTTTTTATTCCATTCAAGGAATGATGGTAAGCTCAAATACCTACCAAAGTTACTTGTTTGCTGGACCCCGAACACATTAGCCACTAAAGATCGCATCGCATTAGGAGTATTGGTACTGAAAAGAATGCTCGACTTGTCAAAGTTAACGAGTTGCCCCGATGCGTCACAATATTTTTTCAAACTGATTTTCACCTCTTGGGCTTCACCTTCGTTGGCCCTGAAAAAAACCAAACTGTCATCGGCGAAGAAAAAATGGGAAACAGACAGGGCCCCTCTTGCAATTTTCGCCCCATGTATACTGCCTCTATCTTCCTACTTTTGGAACAAGATTGACAAACATTCTGCGCATGTTATGAAGAGGTACGGAGACAAAGGATCGCCTTGAAAAATACCTCTAGTAGGAACCACGCTCCCCACCGAACCTCCATTAACTAAAATATCATAACGAACCGTTGAAACACACAGCATATAGAGTTCGACCCACCCGCGGGCAAATCCCAACGCCGTCATCATCATCTCCAAAAAACGTCATTCCATGCGATCGTAGGCCTTGGCCATGTCCAACTTGAGAGCCGCCCAACCCACAGCCCCTATACGCTTAGCATGGAGATAGTGACCAACCTCCCCGGCCACTATTATGTTGTCTGAGATTAGCCTATTAAGAACGAATGCGCTTTGAGACGGTGAGATTATTGAGACGGTGCATCATCCTTTTTGTATGCAACGTTGCACAACGCTATCGGCCTCAAATCCGTAACCCGTTCAGGGTTCTTCTTTTTAGGGATTAAGACTACATTTCTAGAGTTCAACCCCGCCAGCAAAGTACAAGTGTTAAAGCAATCCTAACCATTTCAAACTCAACCAAACAATGGAATTCATATTCCAAGTAATTTCTTTTCCACCAACCAAACAATGGAATCTATTTTCTTGAAATTTATTTTCCATTGAATTTCAATTTCATTTCCCTTCAAATATGTTCTAGCGAACCAAACGAGCTTTAAATGTAATAAATAAATAAATAAATAAATATATATATATATATATATATATATATATATATATATATATATATATATATATATATATATAAAGTCTAATTAGTTGAAATACATGTTCAATAAGTAAAAAGGATAGGTGTTGAATACTTGGCCTGGGCAACGCCGCAACGAGTTTCATCTGATGTAGGTTTGTTGAGGAGACGAGGCCCCCAAACTAAGGTTTGATGTTTTGTTTGGACGCTAAATTGCGAAAGTAATCAAGTAAGGTACAAACTCACATTGCGAAGGTAACAGCAGTCGTACGCAGTCCCAGTGGAATGCGTGTGAGAAAATGAACTTTAATTTGCACGTCCGTTACAGTAAAAAATATGAGTTGTAACAGTCAAAATCTGCAGCCATCAAAAAAAAAAAAAAAACAAAAAAAAAAAAACCTAACAGACAGTATAGAAAGATGCTCAAGTAGTACGTCCGTCCATATAGGACCTCATCAATGCCTCAAATCGTTAGGATTTTCCATCTTCTTAAAAAACCCCACATGATAAATATGATTTATCAATTCTTGTCATGTCAAGAAAACGATTCGAATAGTACAGATTGCGAGTCCATGTAATGAAACTCGACAAATTATTGTGTCTCTGGGGACCATAACAAAATAATGTAATTTTAGTATTCAAATAATGTACATTTCATGAATACAATGTACATTTTTTAATATACTAAAAACACATTATTTGTGTAGTGAATATACGTTATTTGATAGTATATATATAGTCCACACACTATGCAGACCATGGTCCACACAATAATAATTGGTGAAACTCCTTCACCTATTAATTTTATATATATATATATATATATATATATATATATATATATATATATATATATATATATATATATATAATCGCACTCAGGTGCGAATGCTTCGCCCAGGTGCGAAATAGGAATGAATTCTGTTCGTCCACGTGTCCAGATCTAATGGATGAGAAACACTGATTTTTTTAAAAAAACGCGGTGACATTTTCGTAAATAATTGAACATCGAAGTGCAAGTAAAATGTAATACAAGTGCATGTAAAATGTATTATAGGTGCAAGTAAAAATTTACACTGAGCATCAATAAGTAGTTGCACCTATAGTTCTAAGTAGTTGCACCTATAGTTCTAAGTAGTTGCACACATAGTTATAAGTAGTTGCACCTAGGTGTATGAATGTTTGCGAGTGGTTTTCAGGGGTATTACTACCCGCTGAACTCAGATCAATGAATGTTAACAAGGCAAAATTACATACACTTATAGGTGAAAGTAGGTGCACCTATAGTTATAAGTAGTTGCACCTATAGTTATAAATAGTTGCACATATAGTTATAAGCACACCCAGGTGCATGAATGTTTGCGGAAAGTGAATGCTAACAAGGCAAAATTACATGCACTTATAGGTGAAAGTAGGTGCACCTATAGTTATAAGTAGTTGCACCTATAGTTATAAATAGTTGCACCTATAGTTATAAGCACACTCAGGTGCATGAATGTTTGCAGAAAGTGAATGCTAACAAGGCAAAATTACATGCACTTATAGGTGAAAGTAGGTGCACTTGTAAGTGATTTTACTTGCACTTCGATGTTCAATTATTTACGAAAATGCCACCGCGTTTTTTTTTAAGTTATTAGATCTGTACACGTGTCACGCGCTGATTTGTTCGCATTTCCCTCCTGAGCACTTATTCGCACCTGAGTGCATCCCTATATATATATATATATATATATATATATATATATATATATATATATATATATATATATAGGCGGGTTCAGGTGCGGCAGTGTCTTACGGTGCGGCGATTTTTTACGGTGCGGCAACACCAATAGTTCAACAAATATGCACCATCAACGTTAGGAAAATACACCACAAAAAACAGAGTAAACAGAGCCCTGCATCACCAAACACACACCATTAGGTGTGAGTAAAAACATCATACACTGTTCAGAAATACACCATTGGGGGTGGTGAGTTATATGGTGTAATTTTTTTGAGTCTGTTGTGTATTCTGTGATGTTTTATTGCATTTCATTGTGGTGTGTTTTTCTAACACTGTTGGTGCATATTGTTAACACTGTTGGTGTATTCTGGAATTCCGCCGCACCGCCGCATTTGAACTTTATTCTATATATATATATATATATATATATATATATATATATATATATATATATATATAGAGTCTGCCTTGAAACATTACGGTTCTGTATATTAAATATTCTTTTTATTTTTTATTTTATTTTAATTTTTTTTATGAAATGAAAAGTTAAAGGGAAAATAAAAAAATTTGAAAAAGGAGTTGGTAATGATAAATGTATTTTCTAAATTGAAAAAATAAAAGATTGAATATGTCAGGTAATGTTACGTTGCTTGTGTTTACTTTTTTCACTAAATTATGTCAAGTTATGTGATTTCGATCAATTGTTTAATTTGTTGTTGGATCAGTCAATTTAAAGTAGCTAATAATATAATACCTCATAAGCCATATTATTTGAAATAAAATGTGATAGAAAATACCTGATACAACTATACATATATATAAAAATTTTCAATTTGATCCTCTCACATGCTCTGTCGGATTGGAGTGTGGGGGACCCTTATTGTTGGAGATTCAGCCTTTTGGGACAAGAAATTTTTAATTTGGTTTGGTACATAAACAATAACTCAATGTTATTGTTTTTAGATGCTCTACCACATAGCATTTGGACTAAAAAGCTCCGGACGGACTTCCAAAATTTTCATTGTTTAGTAATAACCCTCTTATGATTTATACAAATGACACTATTTCTAATCTCTCTTTCTATATCCTCTCCAGTTAAAAAACAATCTCAATTCTTTTTTAAACGAAAATAAAAATAAAAAAATATCTCAATTCTAGTATTTTTTTTTTAAGTAACTCATTCTCCTCCTACTTGGGACTTTTGAATGTAAAATAAAAAATAAAAATGCATGGTGGAGTAAGTGTATTTGTTTAAATAATGTAAAAATACATTTACATATTCATCATGCAGTCCCTTGATAGTTTGATATATTGCCCAATACTATCACATGAATGAGAGTATATTGCCCAATACTATCACCTGAATGAGAGTATATAGAGAAAAAGGTAAAATACACTCTCGAACTTTATATGAAAATGTAATCAGACTTTTAAAATTTTGAAAAGTTTAAAAAGCACATTAATATATCATTTTAGTGCATTGAAGCTCAAAAACATGTTAGTGACCAGTAATAGCAGGTCACTAGGATTTCAACAATGTCCAGACTATCTTCAGGAGAAAATCAGCAACCGGCGACCAACGAATGGTTGCCTTATCCAGCCAGAGGAGGCGACTACTTGTCACCATCTTCAAAGAAGGAGATCGGCAACCGTTCGTCAGTCGCTAATTTTTTCCTAGTTATTATCGATGACGGTGGTCAACGGTAGATGACGGCAGTCAACCGCAGCTAACGATATGGTTAACGACGGCATGCAAACCGGTAACTTGTTGGTTACCGCTAAACTGAACTTATTTTATTGATTTTAAAAAATTGAAACTTAATTGCACTTTTTAAAAGTTCATCAGATGCCTAATTGCACTTTTGTGTAAAATTTAAATATGTATTTGTAACCCTTTTCCCCGAGCATATATATATATATATATATATATATATATATATATATATATATATATATATATATATATATAGAGAGAGAGAGAGAGAGGAGTGATCACATGTGGTCATGTTGTTAGGTGTGGTCATATGGTCAATTATAGGCCATTAGATTAGATAGATCCAATGAATCATATTAATCAAGATTTTTTCAGTATTTTCGCGCACATTCTCCTACCCAGCGAACTGTAAGGGTAAACTCGTCATAAAACACCGGAATAGGGGAAATCACATTGTTGTGTGTTTTATTACACTATTGGTGCATGTTGTCAACACTGTTGGTGTATTCTGGAAGTCGGCCGCTATAAATGGTCATTGTAATTACCATAACACGGAAATACACCATTGGTGTGTTTCACTGTGGTGTGTTTTATTACACTATTGGTGTATGTTGTCAACACTGTTGGTGTATTCTGGAACCCGCCCGCTATAAATGGCCACTGTAATTACCATAACACCCCCACCTACCAAAACGCGCGAAAATTCTCAGAATTACCACTGCCGTTAGATTAAACTGATTCAACGACCCAGATACGACCACACGACCACACCTAATGACATGACCACATATGAGCGTTTTTCTATATATATATATATATATATGAGTATAATTACTCGTAATTTTACTTTTTATTCTATTTTTACTTTATTTTTTATTTTCTACTAATGTCGCAAGCATATTCTAGTTGATTCATAACAAAATGTGGTAACAATGGGAAGCAGCCCCACCTAAGTTGGTCAAACTGTTGGTTTGGTAACTATAGGGTTACAAGTTCGGCCCCCTAGGTTAGTTTACCTTCTTGTGGTCTTTTACTGGCTAAAATCACAAGACAGGTTTTACACCATACGCGCTGCTCTCGAATAGTAACTGTGGAATTCCCTCGCTACTCAAAAAATAAAAAAATAAAAAATAAATGAATAAATAAAAAGTGGTCACAACTTTTCTTTCATTCCTTTTCTTTCTCATATAAAGTTAGGGGGGTATTCAATCATGACTTTAGTAGAGTTTTAAAGACTTTAAAATGATAGATTTAATAAACTTTGATTGACTTTCGTAGAGTCGTTCAAAACTTTTTAAAACTTTATAAGACTCTATAAAAGTCTATATAAAAAACATTCATAGACTTTTATCAACTTTTTATTTTAAAAAGTCTACAAAAGTCATTGAAATTCTAAATTGAATACATCCTTACAAACTTTAATTTTGACTCTTATTATATAGTATAGTACTTCACCCACATCAACATTCTCAACATTATTATTTTTATCCATAGTATGTTTAGACTTATATACTAATTACTTATATATATTATTAATAAACATCAACAACAAAAAAATATTTCATTTGAAATTCATAACAATATTGAACAATAAAATTTATAATAAAAGAATTGATCAAATAAAATATTTAAAAATATAATTCATATATAAGTATTTATATGAATATTATGAAACATATACTAAAATTTGACGATGAAAAATTTGCTTTGTTCATATATTTATGGAGAATTAGAGAAAATTGGAGATAAAAAATTCATAGAAAAAAAAATAAAAATCAATATAAAGAATCAATAATGAAGTAAAAATAATATTATTTCGAATTTTTAGAGGAAGATTGCAAAGTTAAGGAGAGAGAAAAATTGGTAGAGTTTAGGTATGAGGAAAATATAGGATAATGAAGAAAAAAATAATTTTATTAAATTTAGATATGTTTATAAAGTTTAAATAGGGAGAAAAAATAGAGTTTAAATAGAGAGAGGAAACATTCAAAGTTGTTAGAAAGAAAATTTTAAAATCTTGGGGTCGATGGTTGGATTTTAACTATTTATATTTGAGAAAAAAAGTCTACAAAAGTCCTAAAATTAAAAAGTCTACAAAAGCTCATAACTTGTTGAATACCACATGACTTTTAAAGACTCTCTAAATCGAATACCACACGACTTTTAAAGACTCTATAAAAATCTTGATTGAATACTGCCTGACTTTTAAAGACTCTCTAAAAGTTTGAATTGAATACCTCCAAACTTTTAAAGTTCATAAAAGTCTTTAAAATTCTATGAAAGTCATGATTGAATACACCCCCCTTAGAATATGTGATATGAGTTATACCCTTAACGAGCAATAAAGCGCATTTATCATTTGAAATGAAAACATGGTCCTCCCGTAAAAACTAAGGACGGATCACGATCACCAGGGGCTGCCCCCCTCACCCCACCCCCACCCCCACCCCCACCCCATATATAATTTTTGTATGCATATATGTATATATAGTACATTTGTTAGTATTAGTAAAATAAAACTATTGAGTCTTAACAAGAGTTGATTTATATGAGTTGGTTGAGAACATGTTGAGTTATGATAAAGGATAGGGGTATGAATCTTGGCATTAACATAGTTGGTTTCAATTGTTTTTTTTTTTTTTTTTTTTGACTCCTTCCCTATGGTTTCAATACAATCACGTTGTTTTTTTTTTTTTTTTGACTCCTTCCCTATGGTTTCAATACAGTCACGTTTTTAATTAATAGCTTTTTAATATTTAACACACACGCACACACACACATATATATATAACATTCGTTTATATTAATAATGAGATGTGTTTTTTTTTTAAAAAAAATTATCTCTTTTGTTTTAATGTTTCGCCTAAAAAAAATTTCTGAATCCGTTCCTACTTCTTCGCCCACTTCAACCGAATTTATTGTTCCGTCCCTGACGATCACCCATTAGAGTTCATAATGGTTGAGAATTTTATTAAAAAATATGGTTAATTTTATAATTATTATAAACTTCAAGTTTGCAATATTTGTAGAATTGACTTTGCTTATTTTTTTTTTTTTATTTCTTCAACAATCTTCAACCGTTGATCTCTCTAAATATATAAATGTATCAAATCAATCATCATTTTTAATTTACCTAGAGTCTGTTACGTTGTTACCTAAACCTATATGTATACATGTGTGTGTGTTTTAAAGCTGTTAAAACTTTTTAAGTAGTTGACAATACATAGAGACAAACAGTGAAACAGGTGGATAAAGTCACCTTTTGAAGCAACAAAAATATGTGCATGCATTGGCAGGTTGCCGATTGGAACAAGTGAGACTTGACTACTTACCAGAGTTGAAATACAATTCTTCAATTCACACTACAACATTACTTTTTTGTTCCAGCACCAACTAAATAGCTACTAATGTTGCAGGGCTCAATTAGTTATGGAGTGTAAATGTGACTAAAGCTCATTACATATTTCCAGTTTATAAGGTCCAAAATGCTCTGTCGGACCGAGATATGGAGAGCCCTTGGAATTGGGGATTAAACCTTTTAGGACAAGAAGTTTATGAAATCCCATCCGATGAATTCATACTAGGTTTAATTAAGTTTGGAAAATCTCAAGAGGTTATCTGAATTTGTGGTTACTATTTTATTTATAAATTTCAAGTAAATTTTATAATTTCATCATGCCAACCCGGCCCTATAAATCAAATTATGGCGATATTTTTGTAAATAATTTATATTTTATTTACAAAAATGACATCGCAACATCTTTTCTGGTTATAGTAATAGATACAGTGTCATTTTTGCATTATAAAATTTCTCATACATGATCTCATTATAAGTCTATTTGAGGTTAATAGTATGCTTTAAGTTAAACTTAACTAGAATAATCTCTTCTTCTTCTCTCTTGTTTTATACTTCATAAATATTAAAAAAAATGAAATTTAAATTATTTTTTTGTAGTTAGATTTATAATATAAATAAATTATTCTTAATACAATGTGCAATACAATAAATGTATAGAATTTTATTACCACGTTACAAGGCAAATTTAAGAGTGAAATAATATTCTTCAAAATAATTTTTTTTTTTAAATAATGGGATAAGAAATTCTTGACAAGAAATAAAAGAACAGTATTAAATATAATGCATAATGTATAGATGAATAAATTAATAATAAAAAAAGGGGAGAGTGAATGATATGGATACAGATTAGATTGTAGACAGATGCCATATCAATATAACTGCATAAAGCTCCAGTCAGATAGGTTAAAGTGCACGTGAAATTAATGAGAGGCAGGAGGAGAGAAAAGTGGGGGGAGCACACTTGTGAGCTGGGTGGGTAGGAGGCCAATAGACACTGACTGAAATAAACATAGCTGCATTATTTTACTGTTAATTTGTTTTATGTATAAGACCATGCATCTCATTTGGGTTTTTTTTTTTTTTTTTTTTTTTGTTGATTTTTGTCAGAAATAAAAAATGTGTATTGATTTTTTTTATAAATGAAGAACATGATTTTTTATTAATTTTTTTTTCTCTACAAATTAAAGATCTTTGTGGGTCTCAATCAAAAGCTAATCAATCAAAAGTCAAATATGAAGCATTCTCTAGCCTCATTTTTCTCTCCCCTCCCTCCTTGCCGAGGTGACCTGACAAAAATCATCAAAAGTTTGCTGCTATTGAGGATGTTTATAATCTTATTGCTTAGAAAATGATATACGAAAATCTATAGAGTAAAATTTCGTCATATGTCATTATTGATAGAAGAGAGAAAAAAAAAAAAAAAGTACTCCGTAATATATATATATATATATATATATATATATATATATATATATATATTGTGTTTTTTTTGTGGATGAATCAAATATATATTTTCTGTTTTTTTGTGGATGAATCAAAAAACTTGCATGAGTAATGAGTATAAATTG